TATTAACCAATTTCTACTGGAAATATGTAATGCTAATATTTTGCAGCTGGGTAAATTCCATGAATTTTCTATACCCACTTGTCCTATGTAGGGTTGTGTAGGTCCAGAGCCTATCCTGGAAGCTACAGGTGGAAGGCAGGGAATAACCCAGGATGGGGCACCAGTCCATCATAGTGCATAGAGTCACACAGACACACGCACATAATTTGGTAACTCCAATTCACTTTAGTATGTTTTTGGATTGTGGGGGGAAACTGGAGAGCCAGGAGGAAACCCCACTGGTTGGGGCAGTGGTGGCTTGATGGTTAGGGAAGCGCACTTGTAATTGAAAGATTGCAGGTTTGAATCCCTGACCAGCAAGGTACCACCCCCAAGCACTGCATTAGCTGCCCCCTGCTATGTCACAAAAGTCACATATGGGTTAAATGCAGAGGACACATTTTGTTGTTGCACACTGTGTGCTGTGGTGTGTTGACAATGACCACTGATCACCAAATTCTAAAATTCTAATTCTAAATAACAAGAACATGCAAACTCCACATTGGAGGCAGGGCAGTGCTAACCAGTGCACCATCCTAATAATAATTAGTGCACTCCTCAATAATAAATATGTCATCTGATGTTGCATACTCACATAGCCATCAGAGGGGCTGCTGGAAAATAATCACTTATTTATTTAAATGATGGCTATGTCTAAAGTGACATACATGTGAGGATCAGAGAGTTCAGTCTGGCAGTGTTCCTGGAGCAACTATGGTTCAGGGCCCAAAAGTTATATACCTATGCTGCTGGTAAGATGACTTGAACCCACAACCTTCTGGAGATGTGTACAGACTGGGGAGCTTCTAGAGATTTTAGGCCCCCAACACAGACCAATCCAACCATGTTCCAAATTTCTTAGGCTCCCTATCGCGCAGTGGCCTTTGGAATTGTCACACACACGTTTTGTGACCGAGGCAGAAAATTCAAGGCAGTTTGATGGCTCACTAGGGTCTTTGGGCGTCGACTCAAAGTGAGGAAAGTCAGCATTCTGAGGCACTACTAATTCAGAAAGAGCAGGGAGGGTAAGACAAATACTAACATAAGAGAGTGGAGTTTGTGGCTCAGTGGGTTCGGACACCATGTCAGATCTCCCTTAACCCCAATTGCCTTAGTGACTGGCTGACTCCGCCTTCTCTAAAAAAAATGTATGTTACTTTGGGTAAAAGCACCTGCTAAATAAAATAAAATCTACATAAAGAATGTGCCCCAGTGCCAAATCACACTGTACTAGTCACCAATAAAATACACAGCATTATATTCAAACCGAAGTCCATCTTTGGAGGTACTATATAACTGGCAGTTTAGAATCTCGTTCTTCTCATTTTCACTTTATTACTACTGTCAGGTAACCTTAGTCTTGTGCTAGCTAGTCTTATGCTCCCTAAAGAATAAGCTAAATGAAATGTATACATGTTGTTTCATCGTATTGGTACATTGGGGATTTGCATAGACACAAAATCACTACTTTCATACTGTACATTTTAGAACATCATGATTTAAGTAATAAAACAACTATGTTGCGAAAAAATTGGTTTAACACAGTAATGAATCAGACATATGACATAATAAATGAGCGAATGATACTAGAATGTTGTCATTCTGTCCCAGTTTTGTGTTGTTAATGTAGGTTGTAGTGTCATTCAACCAAAATCACTGACAAGAACAAAATAATACTTTAGAGATGATGAATGTTGTGCACATCCAGGGTGTCCCCCTGCCTTGGGCCATGTGCTCCCTGGGTCAGGCTCCAGGCCTCATTACAGCCCTGACCAGTGGAAGAAGCTAGATGATAGATAGGTGAATAGCACAGTTTCTTTTTCCAGAGAGGAAGTCAGCTCTAAAAATACTACACATTGCCCCTGACTACTAAAAGTGTCTAATTTTTTATCTGGTACCCTATCAAAAATGTTGAATACCTGACATTTGTGACGCAGAGAAAACACCAATGATGCCTCGATATTATCCCAAGATCACTAGAAAGGGTGTATTCCACAGATAAATGATGATAATCCAACTGCCTGTTTCTGATTGGCTGTCCACATGGTCATGTGATGTTTCAGTGTCAACATGCTAGTGAAGCTTTATTATAACTGTATGGTATATGAGGATTTATATACTATCACTGACCTCCTCCTACCTTTTGCGGCACGCCGGTTACCATACAAATCACCACAGCAAATAGGCGCAAAAAATATCAGCATGCACCACACAGCATCAGGTAAACACTGGTGATTTGTTACGGATTTATGAGAGTGGCTTCACGTTACTAGGACAGGAGGGGGTTAGTGACACCCATGCAACGATGTTTCAGAGGGGCTGCTCATCCCCAATTCGACTCATTGCTCCTGAAGTTACGTTGTCCTGCAAACCACTCTGTTTTTCCTTTACAGAGCAGTCACTGACTTTGGCTTGCTGAAGGGAATTAACATTTTCTTTAGCCATTATTTGGATAAGATTTGGATATTTGGGCAAAGTTGGGTATCTGTTTGTACAAAGCTGGCCTGTAGAATCTCCCATTACTGAAAAAGATTAAACCTCTCAAAATTCTCACCTTTTGATTTCTGGTCACCTTGTACTTTGACAGTAAGTTGATGCAGCTTTCTTAGTCACTGGAGTGTCATATGTTTATTAAAAGTATCTCAATCATAAGCACTCTGACTGTAGAGCAAAGGTAGACTTCGGGGGGTGTAGGAAATGCAGGTCCAGCTGAAAGCACCTGGTGAGGACTGTGATTAGAAGCACTCGAAATAACACAACTGGAGGAGGGGTCTTAAATCAGCCTGCGAGCTGAATCTTGGCTAACAGCTGGCAACCCACTCTAAAAGGCACATTACTCAGATTTCAAAAATGAAATTCTATCTGGGGGTTTGTGCATCTCCACCGAATCACATCATGTATGTAATCTTAAAACTTGATTTCAGGTCCTCAGTGTCTTATCAATTATATTTTGTTCTAGTTTTCAGCTAGAAGTCAAAAAAGACTGCAAAATCAATCGCCAAATGTGTATTTTTTAACTTTAGAGTCAAGAAATGCCTTTATTGATGTGTCAATCCAAGAGACAGTTCACAGCAGATTCTGTTAAGTCCACCCCATTTCTACGTCATTTATTATGCAGTAAAACACTTGACCAGCACCATAAAGATCTCTATAGCTTTTGGTCACAGCTAATAGTTTACTCTCAAGACATTTTAATAGACTGGATAGTAACACCTCTACCAACACTGATCTATACCAGTTCAGTGCTTTTACAGCTCGAGATCTACAGAAATTAAGACCTGGCAAGGTTAGGGCACCATCAGAGGAACCTAAATGGGAAGATATCGAAACAATTAACGAATAAGCACCTTGATAATTCTGCATGTCAGGAAAACAGAATCTTGCTGGTGAGAACATAAGTAGAGCATGTTAAGATGAAAAGATATTGTTACAAAGCATGAAATATAATCAATATTCTTGAAAAATGACATGATTATTTTTATAATACATAAATGAATGACGTTTATAGAATATTTCTGCAGATTCAGTATTAAACCACTCAAATGGAACTTGATGACAGGAATTGCTGGGAAATGGTTAATTTGTGCAGGACAATCATGTGACACTTATCTAAACACTGGCCATTGTGCTGAGTGATTTTTAGATATGTTCTGTGAATTCAGGTTTTTCCCGACCGTGAAGCTACAAGACCCCCCCCCCCCCCCCGTTATACTGTGTAACATAGATTTCTATATCCATAGGCACCGGGGAACCATGCTTTCAATAACAGTGATAACTGCATTTAAAATAATTACGCCTTTATTTCATTACTTACGTAATTTTTTGACTAAAGTTATAAAACTCTTACCACGGAGTAGATCGTGTGAGCAGAACAGTAGGCCACGGCTTTCTGGAGCCGATTGACATTGCTGAGACAGCGTCAAATAGAGATTAAGTATGACAAACTGCTCTCATTACGGCACGTTTTCGGGTTTGGAAATATTTTTCTCTTTATATGTCGCGACTGAGTCCGAGGCTATGCTCGGTGTCCATGCTTTAAATGCTTTTTGCATCTTTAATTTTTATAGCCAACAAAAGACGGTGTCCGGCAGTGTAATTACACAGGACGAGCCATTATAATGGCAGCAGAGGCCATGCAACTTCGCACGATCGCCAGTCCGCCGCCAAGCAGAGCAAGGCGATTAAGTGCGTCATCGCCCCGTTTTATGCTCATTACTGACCAAAATTAATTAATCGAACTGTGTATCCCAAACCTTTGATTCGGATCTTGTGAATCGGTGGGGGGGGGGGGAAGAGACAACCTCTCCGACCGTCAGGGAGGAAAAAAGTGCAGAACAGTGGAGATTTGTGTGTTTATCCGAGTTTTGGGCACATACATCTTCAAACGTCACATACCTCGTAAATGAATCCGAGCACTCAGTCTGGACGGTTAACTTGGCAGGACGTAGCTCGATTTTTTACGATAATATGAACATGCAATGTCTGTTGCCGCTGATTCTTTCGCAGTTAGGCTTAGGGGAACCGCTTGTGTGTGACTGGAGACGCGGCAAATCGTCCTCCATTTCACCGTCCTGCCGTCACTAATGAGTTCAGTGAGCATTTCGCTCGTACTTCCCCCTACCTGGTCTGTTGTGCAGGGTAAGCTTACATGTCCATAACATTATGAAGATGTTACATTAATCTCACTGTCTCTCAGCGCCGTTGGACTGTAAAAGGCTACCTGTGTGGCTGATCCTGGCTGTCTTTCACGCCGGCGTCCAATCACAGGCAGCCTTACATGAAAAAAATATATATTTTCACTCAGTGCATGTACAGTACTGTATGTTGCAAAAACTGTTCAGAGAAACACACTGGGCGAGGGTGAGATAGGTGGACAACGGCTTCCGAGAGCACCACTTCTGTTACTTTACAAATATTTCCACCGGGTGAGCTGTCGCTGGTAAGTACTGTCCAGGCATACTTGTACTAGTGCACTTTTATTTTCTACTTACCCGAACATTTACTAACACAACACCCAGGAAGCTATATTAAGTAGTCACACACGACAAGCAAGATAGTGGTCAGAGTCATCAGTTTGATCACCCAGTTTGGTGACACTCCCGAAGTGACTTTTTTCCTCCCGGCCCCCCGAAACAAACTGCAGATCAAAAAAAGAAAAAAACTTTTGCAGCAGATACGTGCATAAAGAGAGGATGATGTTACACGGCTAGGCCAGTCAGTACCAAGCTATGAACATCCACATACTGCACAAGAGCATAGAGAAAGAGGGAGAGAGAGGGGGAGAGAGAGAGAGGAGAGAGAGAGAAAACACTTGAGCGATCGGAGGGGGGGAGGAGGACAGAAAAAAACAAGCAGAGAAAATTGTTCGAGGAAAACGAAAGTACGACAGTCGATTTCAATTGAACAAGTGCCTTATTTCGGTGGACGGACGCCGCGTTTCCTAGTTTTACTTGGGCGACTTGAGCTCTGCGGTGTTGCGCTTTAACGCAGGAGGCTGCGTTCATCCGGGCAGGGGGAAAGAAGAGGAAAAAAAGAAAAGCGAGAGAGAAAAAGTGCACAGAGGTGCCTGGCTGCTATTTGTGTTATTGTAGCAAAAGCTTGAACTGTTACGATGTGTCAATAAGTTTAAAGGTGCATCGGCGGCTGGAATGACAAGGCCCTGGCGCTTCGGCTGCCTTTCACGGGTAAGTTTGCTGACATCCAAGCGCCGTCATGACAGAAAACTTGTAGATATTTCATCCCTCGATGAGACCCGGGTGCCTTTTGCCGAGCAGCACCCGGTCATCCGGCGTAAAAATCGTGCCCACTTGAATTGCACCCGTCGCTGGCAGCTACGAACGGGCGCGATCGCTGCCTTTCCTATTAATCTGGGATTATTTTTTATTTTTTTTCCATCCTCGATCGGCGGTCATTTGCACGAAAAAGAAGCAAAAAAACCCACCTCCCCATCGCTTAGGACACTCGTCTATACTTAGCGCTGGGGTTAAAAACTGACGATGCAAAATATAGAGACAATATGTACGACACAGGCAAAGAGAGAAGCCGATCGCTCAGTAGCGGCGCGGGCACTTCCCCCCCCCCCCCAGTCCTCCTCCTGCCATGGTTATTTTGTAACAGAAATCGACTTCAATTAGTAGAGGTAGGGGGAGAGAGAAAAAGGGGGAAAAAATAGTAAAAGTCGGATACAAAGTGTCCCCGGGAGCTTTAGTGGGAGAAAATCCCATTGCACGTCCTGCTAATGACACGGGGGCTACGGCGACTCGCATCAGGAGGCCAGCGGGGCTAGCTTAGCTACTTTGATCCCATACAACCGGTCGCGGAGCCCGGATCGGGCCAGGTAGACCGCGTCTCCCGAACCGTCTGCAGCGATGACCCCGACTTTAAGTAACGAGGGGGGCTGATCTGCCCACCTTTTCCGCCGCGGAGAAGAAAAATGCCGTCCGCGGACTTTTTGACAGGAGTGAGATTTATACTTCATTTTCCCCAAAGCAAGATGGACTCTCTTTCGCCCTGTCTGTCTTGTCAGACCCCCAGATCGACATTTTGCACTTAAAAATTAAGATAGCCTCCGACGGGAGACGATCGGGGACCTTCCGATGAAGGGAATAATCCCCCCTTAAAGGGGGCCTTTAGGGTGGGGGCGACGCGTTGGTGAATTATCGCCTCGTTTTGCCACTTCTCTCGACAGCGTGGAAAGAAAAGAGCACCTCCGGTTTGCCAAGGCAGCACTAGTCCGGTCCTACCTGCAAACTGCTGCAATTAGTGGACATCTCCTACCAGTCAAACCGCACCTGACATTTCAATGTAATATATACACTGTATCTATTTTACGGTCTTGCGTGTCATTATGTCGTAGTGTCGGTGCTGCGATTACAGACGGTCAACTTTACACTTAACTAGTGAACGAAGGAAGGGGGGGAATGATGCGCCCACCATAGTTTGCTTGTGGGTTAAGCTATCGCACGTATGTTATAAAGTTAAAGGAACGCCAGTGAATGTCGCCGATCACGACGAGGTTTTTGATAAATCGGGGCAGTAAAATGGAATCGGGAAATTAAGATGTATCTTCACTGAGGACACAGTGTTTTGTATTTTATAGGTCATCACCATCGCATGACAAAGCCTGACTGACAGACTCATCTTCATCTTTCAGATACAGTATTTCCATTTTCCGTACCTAAGTAAGTACGCCTTCAGTTCATTTCACGTTTTTTGTGTCTTTTTTGTTGATTCTCATAACATATTCAGCATTTTCCGTTTTACAAGTGCCACATGGGTCTATTTTTTTTTTGCCCAGTTATGTCATACATTTTATTGATTAGCTATGTATGCATCGACGAAAGAGATAGGGATAACATTCTTCTGTTGATCTGCCCGTCAGAATCCGCGAAATCCAGATTAACCCCATTCATGTAAAACGACGTCTCTACGTGGTCCATAAATTTGAGATCAACTGGAAATTGAAAAATCAATTTGGATCTGATTTGCAGTCGGTAGCCTATGAAAACATAATTGGAACCTGTGATTTAGACATAATGTATAAACGTTGTTATACCGTTTTGTTTGATATGTAGGCCGGTTCAGTATCGATGAATTAAAGCTGTTATTTAGGGTGATTTCCCACGGCTTACCCTCATCATCAGAATAACAGGGATATACGCAGTGTTGGAAATGAAAGTCCCTGTTGATTTATGAAATTATGAAGCCGGGAGTATGACCTGCAACAAAGTGTTAGAAAATTTATCTTTTAAGTTCATGGCTAACACGCAAATGAATTCATGATGGTCAGAACTTTAATCATTGTGATAATCAGAATTCACTATTTTGGAAAGTGGGATAATTTATATATTCTGAATATGATTGCTGTATTTTTAATATCATTCAGGGTGCATTATCTTGTTTATTGGTCAGATTTGATAAAGCTTAAGTTATATTGTGATACATGTTCTTTATTCCATATTTAAAACATTAAAATTAGCTGTTTTGCTTTTACAGAGTACAGGTTAAATCTGCATTACAATTGATACCTATAAGGCAGTAATACAGTAAATCTCCTTTGTTGGTTTTAAAGTGATCAGTGTTGTTGTGAATGCTTTGTTTTTTGAGTACCACCCAAAATATATTTTTTTCACTGCCATTTCCTTTATGCACTTTGAATGGCAAAAACACCACATGTTTAATTCTTCCAAAAAATGTCACCTTCCACTGCCATCAGGCAGTCACTGTTGCAGTTTTTTTTAGCTAGAAGTCTAAAATCTGTTGACATTTGAGCTTGTTTACTTGGAAACATCAGTATTCTTAAGAACTCTAAGATCGAACTGCTGTTTCGTGAATCTTTTGCGATTGCACAGCTTCAGACATCTTAGAGTCTTCAACATCCTGAGAAAGTAAGTGGTCCCAACAAAGCTCTGTAGGTTGCATTGCCTTGGTTTCCTAGAGTCTTCGGTTCTCCATAAAGACAGGCTGGTTCACCTGATGAGCGAATGTACCTTGGAAGTTCATTGTAAGGAACTGCAAAATGCTCCGAATGTTAGGAAAGGGGATGTGAGGAAAACTCATCTAAGCAAAAACGGAGTATTTCTTTGTCATGACCACCAGGGTACTTGAGGAACAACAGTGGATTTCCTCTTCAGTGCCTTTACAGGTTCTGGCATCTATACTTATGTGATTTTCTGGCTTCAGAGAGAGATGAATTGTTGTTGCTCGTTCTGGCGACGGTTTATCTTCGGGACCTTGGGTTATGACGCTCCGACTGGAGATGGTGTTTAGTGTTATGGAGGTGGGGGAAACTCTCCTCGGGGTGGCACTCGTGTGTGTGGGGGGGGGGGGGGGGGGGGGGAAGCTCAATGAATGAACTGATTTTTTTGGTAAGGTTTAGGTGGGACTTCCCACCCTGGCCAACAGGGTGGGTGTCAGGGGCTCATCCAGATATAGGAAGTAGAAGGCTTGCTTCGAAAGGTTGGGATGTAGTAGATAATTTGGAATAGTGGACTTGCAATCGTTAGGGAACCGGCTTAGAAGAGCTTTTGGAAAAAAATAATGAAATTGTGCTTTAGTCATTTGTACAAGTACACTGGAACACTCCTTTTCACATAAACCTTGTTGCTGGCTGTTTAGATATTCACATACGTACCGGTGAGAGCAAAGCTTGGTGTCCGAGCACGAGGTCAGTCGGCATGCAGCTTCCCTGGAAATCTCAGGGGTTTAAGAGCCTTGCTGAAGACCCCAGCGCTGGCATTAATCTGCGGGCCCCAGGATTTGAACCAGTGCCCTTCTGATCATGGGCACAGAGTCCTAACCCACTAAGTCATATGGCGTCCTCCATTATGGTGTCACTAGACAGAATGGTCCCAAATAAGGCTGATGGGGTTTGAACACGAAGTTATTGGGCATGAAGTGTCAGTGTTGTTATTGTGCGAAAGTCACCCTTTTACATCATTGCAGATGCCCTTTGGGTGACGGTTGCATCACATTTTCTTGGTAGGGATCCATGGGTCAAATGCAGGACATCTAAACAACCAAAAAAGTTGATACATAAATGATTAAATTCAGCAATTTATATGTCATATGATTATGTTTATTGTAGTTTGTTAGGCCGCAAGATATCTAGATAAGTCATATATACAAGTATTTGGATGACTTTTCCTTATTTTATTCTTTAATTTTTCAATTCTCTCTCATTATTTAAAATTTTAACCTTTCTGAAATTTCAGTAGACATTAGAAGGTGGCCTGAAATTAGTCTACACCACCCAGTCACATAGCTTATATAATTTCTGGTAAAATTGAAGCTTTCTTCCCGTTAAAGACTTAAATTTTGCTTTTTGATTTTATGCATGTAGGTTAAATCAACACTTTTTTGTTGATTTAGCTATTTTGTCACCTTGTCACTATCTTTGTTGTCACTTCTTTGATGTAGGTAGTGCTTCCTCATGTTATGTTGTTGTCAGATATACAACATTTCTAGAAACAAATTGGCTTCTTATGCACTTAAGGATATCTGTTTATGGAATGTAACCCCCCCTGCTCACTGGCTATGTTGTGTTGTGTTTCTCTGAGGTAGGATGAGTCTAAAAGCATGTGGGACACTGTATGTGCCAAAAGATTGTGACCTCTTTTTTCCTATGACTATACATTGCTGTGGTTAGTGTAGCAAGTAGCCCGTCTAGTGCTAATAACTTCCCCTTCAAGGCTAAAGTTTGAAGACTGGGAGTGTTTTCATGAGTTGGTGGTTCCTTGTAATTTTTGATTCAGTTTTGTCTTTTTGGGAGTTTGAGGTGATTGAGTCGTCATTGGTAGTTGAGCACTGGTCTTCCTAACATAGCTTGACTTCAATTGGCCTTTGACTTCCATGAGTCATTGACAGTTGACTTTCATTGGTTGTTGGCAGCCATCTTTCATTGGTCGTTGACAACTGAATCAAAATTAGCCTTTTTTCTTCCATCAGTTAGAAACTTGTCTGTAACTTGTAGGTTTTTAATTCTCGTTTTCAGTTTTGGGGAGGTGGGGGGTGTGATGAGCTAAAGTCATTCACATGAAAGGGTGGCTAATATGTTAGTCGCTAATATGTTCACCGAAACATTGAAGGGGACGTGCTCATGCTCGAACTACATTTTCATCCACGCTTGCGGAAATGGTATGAAATTGCAGTAACTGATGTGGTGCGTGAACCCAGAGTTTCAGATCAGTAAGAGCACTGACATATTTTTTGGCCAGAAATGTTTTAATTGCTGTTTAGATTTGATTGTGTCTAATGGCAATCTGATTTCAGTAAGTCTTTAACCCTGCTAATAAAAGTGAACAAAACATATTTATTTTTAATGCAAACAGTGTCTAATGATATTTGGTGTCACGACAAGCCTCATCAGAGGTTTTCGCTGGTTATGGTGGTTAGCTATTCCCAGCTCATTATGGAAGACCGGAGTGGCATGAAGATCGTAGGGAGGTTAGATGGGTGTTGATTTGCGTGCTAGCTGCCCTCTCATCAGGAAGCGTGCTAAGCTGGCCACACTGGGGACTTGAGAAAACACCTACCTCCAGAACTTTGGCAACTGATCTTAAAACGAGTGTTATGATTTTTATTTGTAATGTTCAGTGAGGATGTGTAAATAAATGGTGGATATATGATCCTATTCACATTTGCTAAAGAGCAGAAGGGTGACAAGGGTGGGCTTGGTTTGTCCTGCAGGTCAATTCTGTCCAGTAGGGGTGGATCTGGAGCCACTGCCCCCATCTAAAAGATCAATGGCCATGATGGACGTCCCACTTAACCTGAGGAACAGACTCACTAAGGTCATTTCAGATAACATGGCACTTGATTAAAACCTGCTGGCATTTAACCCTGACCTCCGTACAGATTGAAGTTGTGGTCCGTTTAGGAGATGGAAGCCCTCTTATTGCTTCCGAAGAAGTATTTTCATGGGAATTTGGTATGCAAAAGGTGGTGGCTGAAAAATAGTTTCAAATTCAGAATTCAGCATGCGTTCATACTTGAAGACGAACCTCTCCTGGATTATCATTTTGGCCCACCTTGCCTTCCTAGAGTACCGTTAAACACTTACGCTCTTACAGTCAAATTAACCTCTCTTAAAACTAGCGCATAAATAAAAACACTTTATTTGGCTGCCAAATAAGATATAATTAAATGCAGGAAAATCCAGGGCTTGCAGTTGGAGGCTGTTATTTGTGCTTCTGTCTTAAATGCACGCGGTACTCATCCTTACACCCAAATGCTCAAGATCAGCCACATTTCCCCACATGGCTCCTTTTCACTCACCCTCTCTGTCCCTGGTTTTTTAGTGAACTGACCGCCATACCTTAGTTGGTTTGCTATAATGCCCAAGCAAGGGACTCAGCCTAATGGTTACCATCTGTTAGTTAGGATTGATGATTTTGAAAGCTTTATTGTCATTTGTACAAGTAGGGAGACCGGGGACGATTGTTGAGCAGGGTCAGTTGTTCGAAAGAATACAGTAGCCGTCCTGCATAACTTAGTGTCCCCTAAAAACACTGCTGATGTTTAATGAACTAGTACAATTTCACTTCAACAATGGAAAACAAAAACAATTTTTTTGCTTTCATTTTTGCTCCATGTCATAAAATGAAAATGAAACAATTCAGCAATTCTCCCCAGGCTCTCCTACAATGAAATATTTGCTTGTGTACCTCCCTGAAAATTTTAA